TGGGTTACAAAATAGTCTAACAACCTAACAACATCCTAAAAACAACCGAACTTGAAAACAGGAAGCCATTTTTTCTGGTTTTCCTGCAGTGGTACATCATACTCATAGGTAAGCATAATACAGCACTGTGCAATAGTCCTGAGCTATCCCTCATTTCTTTATGAGGCTTTTTTGAAGTGGTTTCGAGCAGCAGGTCTCCAGACCTTTCCAAGGTTTTCTTTAGACATTGGCTGCTTTTTCACACATTTTCACTCTCATAAACACAACATTTAGTCCCACTCGTTTAGTTGAATCTACAAAAAATGGCAACAATAACACAGTTTGACAGATGTAAAAATAGTATTTTGCACCAACAAGGTTAATTCCCCAAAAGATGAAAACCTGGTAGGCAGTTTTTAGGGTACCCTCAAAAAACTGATGAATGTTCCTGAAGAGGCCCGGAGAACTACTCCTGAAAACTACTTAAAGATATGATTTTTTTTAAAAAAAGAAGTCCCCAAGAGAGTTCAGGCTCTGTGGTAGAATAAAGATGGTCATACTAAATACTGAATTTCAAATTACACAAACTCATTATATTATATACCACTTTTCCTTATATGTTTGCACAGCTCACTGAATAACTGCACCTACTTCTCCCTTGAAGTATATGAAGAAATGAGTCGTGGCTTGAGACTTTTGCACAGTACTGTATGAGTTATGACAGCTCTATGACTTTCTGATAAAAACTAACTTTAACATTTTCTTCAGCCTGAGCTTTTAGGGGCCAACTTCCTGTTTGACGTTTGTCCCGCACACCTCTGCCATGTCACACACAGTTTCATAGAAAATATTTTTCATCAGAGCAGAAAATAAATCCTTATTTTCACACTAACCCATTCATCTTTACGCCCCCTAACTTGCTTAGTTGGAAAAATATCTTGTTAAAAACGAATTTAAGTCTTCAAAAAAATAAGAAAAGAAATAATTGTTAGCCCCTACTTATTTCACAGATGAAGCGTTTGTGGTTTGCCAGCAGGAGCTTTTGAAAATAAAATTTTAGGCCTTTAAAGCGCTCAATTTCATGTCCTAACGTCACACCCCGCAGAAGCTGACTCCACCTTAAGACGTGGCATGGTTGTCTTGGTTTTGGGGGGTTGGGGCAAAACAGTAATGTGCTCCACATCAGCTCTAACTTACAGGCTAAAAAAGAATCAGTGCTAAAGTTTCTACTGTTCTAGCTCGCCCAGAGCAAAGCGGGCGTGTGTGTGCAGTGAGAGACAGGCCACACTGCAGCTGCCAGCATCGTCTTCTACCTTAAAATACGCCACTTGTAGGTAATTATATGGGCTCCTCTTCTTGAACTCCAGCTCTATTTCCTCGCTGACGAGATGCAAACTTGGTGCGCCGACTTTCTCAGTTTCGCAGGAGTTCACACAGTCGGCCCGCTTCAGGATTTTCTGGAAGAAGCCCAGGTCCTCCACAGAGCCGGTCCCCGGTATGGGAACTCCCAACCCGGCCAAAGGCTCGCCGAAAGCGGTCTGGTTGGCGCAGCTCTGGCGGCACTGAGCTTTAACTTTGCGCAAAGTGGCTTTGTTTTTGAGAGCCTTCTCCATGTTCAGAATCACCGATAACCAGTCCCCCTTATAGTAAGCTTCCACCGCCGTGTCGAAGAGGAAATCATAAGGCTCCAAAACAAAGTGGCTGCTCACTTCAGTGTCCGACGTGCACGCAGGCACCACGACAGCACAGAGGAATGTGAGCGCATAACGGAGCTCCATGGTGGCAAAGTGTCAGGGCTCTGCAGCGGGACCTGAGCCTGGACCTGTGGCCGACGACGAGCCGGTACGCAGAGAGAGGTGTTACTACTCCTTTCTCCACCAGGAGCTTGACTGGAGGTGGGATTTGAGCGGCGGAGCCCCCCTCGGCAACACCCCCACCCCTCATCCTTAAGCATATGCATACGCATCAGCCGTATGCAACATGATTCCATATAGTGCGAGTTGGTTTAGTGCTTCAGAGCTTCAGAGCAAAATATTTTCACCAGTTGAATAAACACAAAATGACACAGATTTCTGAAAAGGTCTGGTTGTATGAAAGTTTATTGACAAAAATCCGAGAAAAGGCAACTAACCAATGAAAACTGTGCTTTTAACTGTTTGCTTTTTTCCACTGATGGATCTGTTCGGAATTGTCCTCATTCACACTTTCACAGGCTCCCAAATACAGCTGTTGGTGCGTAGGAACACAGCAGTGAGGTTCTGGTGAGGCAAGGAGAAGACACGGCACCCAAAGAAACCTGAAGTCTGTGGAGAAACTCTAAAAATCGTATTATAGGCCACTGATAGAGCCCATCAATGGCCTAAAATGTACTTTTTAAAAGTTTTCAACGTGTCTGACTGAAGCTGTTAATGAAGTTGTACTGCTGTGATGCTGGATGTTGGAAGAGAATTCCCAAACAGCATGATGGGCAGTACATCTGAAATGTGTCACAGTATATTGTAAAGCTTAACATTCTTCTATTTAATCAAGATCGCTGTTCCACCGCTTTAAGCTGGTCAAAGAATATCATCGAATCGTGCAGACGATGTGTAGTTTTATTTTTGTTGTATTTATTTATAACTTTGCGCAAATAGTAAAACAATAAAGAGAAACAGAGGATTTTAATTTCGTTACAATAGAAAAAAACTTACCAAAAAATTGTTCACTTACCAAAAATATGAAACTAAGCACGCAATGTATTATGGGGAACGTAGTATGCGCGAGGAAGATCGAGCGAAAACAATAAAAATACATCTTTTAGTGAAAGTGTCAGCTTTAATGTGAGCTTTAGCTAGGAGCTTTAAGTGCAGTCTGACTCAGTGGAAAGTGGAGCACAGCTTCCGTTTTGTGTGTATTATACAACTTCGTATATTTCTTAACATTGACATATCTTCATGTTTAAATGCTCTGTCTCGTGTCGACCTGCTATTTGCGAGCCTGAAAGAACAAGCGCAAATGTAGTGAAGTACGAAATACAGAATATAAAAGTTTATATCATTATTGATCCCAATACATAATTATATTAAAACAAAACAAATTCATAATCACTAGTAAGCTAAAATTAACTGTATAATTAAATGTATTTTAAAAAGGCATAAATACGGACAACTATTTTGAGCAGAACGGGGCGGAGATTAGGACCCAGTGATCCCTACTGTATTTTTAGTTGAATACCAGTTGGTTGCAAAACAGGCAAGTGGACAGACTACAGATAGGTTGTGATTATTGATATTACTCGAGAGAGGA